ATCTGTATAATCAATGTGACAGCCCTTCACAACCAGTGAGTGGGGTAGAGACACACTCGCCGATCCTGCTATGCTGGATTACATCCGGTTGCACCATCTCGATAATAATTAATTAATTCATGTGTTTTGACATGTGTGGGACGATTGAATCTCTCGATGGAGATACTCTTTTGCTAATGAATACGTTGAAATATTGGTAGTAACACATCGGTGGTAACTTGTCGTTGTAATGTTGGTTTCTTGATGTGTTGTACTATAAACGTTTTCGGCGATAATTCTTTCGTTATTCGGAACGGACCTTCATAGCGTAAGTCGAATTTGGATCGAGTATTGAGGGTTTTCACCAGGACTAAATCGTCTATTTTGTAAGTCGGATCCGTGCGATGCTTATTGTAGCGTTCTGCGTATTGTTCCTGATTGCGTCGGATGTTGTTCCGTGCTTCTTCGCTTAATGTTGCCAGATGATCGTGGAGTTTTTTTGCGTGTTTGGAGTCGAAATTGAGTGTGATATTCGCGTCTTGGTGATCGAATGGTAGTACCGGTGTTCGGCCGTACATAATTTCGAATGGTATTTGTTTGGTTGATGAGTGAATCGACGTATTATAATTGAATGTGACAAATGGTAATTGGTTTTCCCAGTCTGTTTTGCGTTGATTCGACAGTGCGGCGATTTTTTGCGTCCATTGTCGAATTGTATCTTTCTACTTGTCCATTTGTTTCGGGATTATATGGTGTGGAGTAAAGGTGTGTTGCGCCGATCTGTTTGATTAATTCGTTTGTTAATGCCGAGGTGAAATGCGTTCCATCGTCGGTGAGAATACAACGAGGTGTTCCGAATTTCGCGATGACATCCTCTTTGAGAAATTTCACCGTTGTCTGAGCGGAGTTGTCTCTGACGGCTTTGGTAACAACGAATTTCGATAAGATATCGGTGAGAGATATTATGTATTTGTTGCCGTGTTGTGATGTTGGATTGATTGGTCCATGAAAATCCATAGCGAATAGTTGCCATACTCCTTCAGGTGGTTTTATCGGTCGTAATTTTCCAGGAGGTTTTTGTCGGCGTGGATTATGTTGAGCACATAAAATGCATGATTTAGCATGATTAGTGATGTCTGTGTACATCATGGGCCAAAAGTAACGTGTTCGAATTTTGTGTAGTGTTTTATTTTTACCGAAGTGAGCACCATTTGCAGCGGTGTCATGATAAACTTTTAATATTGATCGTCTAAATTCACCTTCGGGTACATACGGGACTGGATGATGTAATCGACGCATTAATAGGTTGTTCTCGATATAATAATGTTTGTTTTTCTTAATGTTTTTTTATGATATTTTTTGCATATTCATCATTTTTCTGCGCTTGAGTAAGATCTTCGATTGTAAATGGAGTAATTCGATTCTCTTCGGGTAGAGGATCTGCTGTCATGTTCTTGTTATCGGTAACATTATTGTTGATGGATTCACGTAATTTGGCTGCTCGAGTTTGTACTACGTTGACGGTGTATACTTGTGTTGCTGAGCCTTCGGGCTCTGTTTGTGTTGATGTTGAAGTAATTGAAGATGTTTCGTCAGGATCTTCTTCTGCTTCATCGACTGGAGATCGTGATAAATAATCTGGCATAGAGTTTTGTGGCCCGGGAATGTATTTGACATCGAATTCGTATTCGAGGATTTTTAATCGCCATCGCTCACATCGTTTGTTTATTTGAGCTTTTTTGTTCAACTGAGTTAATGCTTTATGATCAGTTTCCCATGTAAATTTCGTACCACTTAAATGATTATGCCATTTGTCTAATGAATGAATAAATGCATAACATTCTTGTTCCATTGGAGACCAGCGACGTTGAGCTAATGTAAATTTCTTTGAAATATATGCNTATGTCATTTTTTGGTTTTCTGTCCTTTCTTCTGTGGAGTGCGTGTTGTTGGAACAAATTTCCTGAGCGGTTCGGCGACTTGTGAAAAATTTGGTATGAATTTCTGATAATATTCAGTAGGTTTTACGAATTTGCAAGCTTCGTCCGGTGTTTCCGGGACTTTTGTATTTAATAAACCGTGTATATTCGTTGGACATGGTCGAATTTCACCATCTTTGATGCTGTGTCCTAAATAATCGGTTTGTGTTCTTGCAACTTCACATTTCTCAATATTTGACATATTTCATTGAGATGCGTAACGTGTTCATCGAAAGTGGTCGAATAAATGATAACATGATCAATGTATGCTAAAGCGTATTTCCATCGTGTAGGGCCTAGTATGTGGTTGATTATACGTTGGAATGTCGCAGGGCCATTCGTGATGCCTTGTGGTAATACTGTAAATTGATAATGATTGTCTCGAGTTGAGAATGCGGTTTTCGGTCGGTCCTCCTTGACGAGGGGTACCTGAAAGTAACCGGATTTAAAGTCGAATTTGGTGTAATATTTTGCATCGGTTAACTGGTCGAATATTTCGTCGATTCGAGGTAGTGGAAATGCATCTTTGATTGTGATTGCGTTTAATCGACGGTAATCAATGCAGAATCGCATCGTTTTGTCTTTCTTCTTGACGAGGACAACTGGAGAAGACCATGGTGATGTTGATTCTTCGATTTGACCACGTTCGAGGAGTTTTTGTGTTTCCTCCATTTTGATTTGTTGATCTTTGCTTGAAGTTGAATATTGTTTCGAATAAATCGGAGGATGATCACCTGTTCGAATTGCTGATTGTGGTGGAAGGTCAATGATCGATGGTGTCGGATCAAATAAAATTTTGTTTCGCCATAATATTTCTTCGATAAGTGCTTTGCGTTTTGGATCATGAATATGTTTAGTTAATTCTGTGATTCGTAGTCGCATTTGATCTGAATAACATTTCGCTCGTAGATGTTTTTGTAAGTCGTTGCCCGATAAAAAGTATTCTTTACATTCATGACAAACATTATTTGGTTGCGTTTGTTTCGAGTTGTCTGTTGTATCCAGAACAGCTCTGACTTTCTGGTTGTTCGACTTTGACATTTGCGTGGCGTCGTGGTGATTCCTATTTGTTGGTCGATGGTTGTTAGTTATGTTTGTCGTAAAGATTGATAAGGTGGAATGATGAGAGAATGTTCCTATGCGTGTGTGTTTTGGTATAGTGTATTGACTGTTGTGTGCGTTAATTAATAAAATTTTTGATTGGTTCCCTTCAACATTCACTAATGTGTGTGGAATAAAGACGAGTTTTGATGTATAATGAATATCTGGTTCGAATAGAAGATCTTCGCCACGATGGAGTGGACATTTAACATCAATTAACGTTTGAGAGTACGGTGCGAGTGTAACTTGATTGACTGATGTTGCTGGATAATTAAGGTTTTTAGGTTCTATGTATGGGACGGAGATACGACTATTGTTTGTGTCCGGAATTGTTAATCGTTGTTCATCACCAAATAGGTGTACGCGATTTGAATTAATCCAATCATTACCTAATAGGATTGGTGTAATTAAGTTTGTTGCGACGTGTGCTACGATGGTGGTTTTGGTGTTGGAAATTTTGACTTCGAGTTCGATTTGGCCGATGATATCAAGAGGTGTTGAATTTGCTGTTTGGCATTTGTGAGGCGTTGAAATAAATTTTTTGTGGCGAATTGTTTGCAGGAAATGTGAATGAACAATGGAGATAGCGGAACCCGTGTCAATGATTGCTTGTGTGGGTTGATTGTTAACGAGGGTTTTAATATATACAGGGGACGTTGATGGCTTGATTAAGTTACTGGAGTCACCGCCATCCTGCGCTCCAGTTATTGAAAATTCGACAGTTGAGGACAATCGCGGATGATGTGGTTTGCTCCACATTTGAAACAGCCACGCGGTTGTTTATGAAAACAATCGATTGTTCGATGATTTGTTCGACTGCATATTTTGCATGCTGTATATGTATATGATGTTGTTTTTGGTTTTCCAATTTGTGTTCGTGATGGATGTGCTTGATTATATGTCGAGTTCTGCTGTAAGCGAGAGCTCTGTGGTTGTCGTTGGTGATCATTGCGTGGCGGATTACTATATCGAGATTTATTTGGATAGATCGCTGCGGTGAATGATGGATTCAGTTCGTTGTGGTGAACGAAGTACGGCTGATGCTGGTTAAGCGATAACGCGGTGGTTTGGTTGAATGTGTCATTCAAGTCCTGTTCTATTTTTGCGTATTTCAAGAATTCCGTCAGCGAATTCATTGCTGATTCGCGACATGAAAGTTCTTTTCGGATATTTGTGTCGAGTCCGCTGAGTAAGTATTGAATAATCGTGGAATCAGGCATTGCTGAATCAACTTCGCGGCACAGGTTTATGGTTTCGTCGCAATATGTGGTGATAGATTCGTTAGGTTTCTGTTGTCGTTGCTTTAATTGTTCAAATTTCTTGGGGGTAATAGTTGTTGAGATATATCGGTCGCGGAATGCTGATTCGAAATCTGACCATTTTTTAAATTTCGTTTCGTTGTTGTCGAACCATATTCCGGCTGATTGTGTTAATTTTCCACGAACAATTTCTAATAATTCAAGGTTGGTGGATTCGCTTGTAGCTTTCGTTATATTTTTAATACTTTTCAAAAACCGTTCGGCATCTTCTGAAGGATGTCCGGCAAAGCTGTTTAGGTCATCGAATCGTGCTTTGCGCACTTGTGTTAAAATGGTAGAGTCAGTCATTGGTTTGAATGAAAAATAAAATGTAGGCGTTGATGATGTTTCTGTTACACGTTGTGTTTTGCGGCGAGGTTTTTTTTAGGAAATCATGAGTTATGATAATGTGTGGTAATAATCTCTTCGTCTGCTTTTTTACGATCGATCGAGTTCCAAGTGCCGTGGTTAAGAGTGTAATGAATTTGTTTCTTTATGTCCGAGTCGAGTCTCTTTTGGAGGCTCTCTGTGTTTCTGTTTAATTTAAAATTCGTAATTAGCTGAGTCTCAATCGAGATCCTTATATTTCGTTGTTGTGTATTGATTTAATTGATGTGATATCCGACGGTAGTTTTACTGGTTATTCGATGTGAAAACAAAGCACGTATATCGGCGGCGTGTCTTTTGTTTCCTTTGTTGTTTGTCCAGGGTCGCCAATTGTTAGAGAGAAAGCCTGGAGATGGTAGTGCGGACGATCTTCGTCCGTTCGTTTATTCTCTCTAACTTTAATACAGAAAACGGTGTACATATATACGAACGAGAACCAAGGCGAGAAAGAATCTGATGATGAGAGAGCAGGGCGACGTGATGTCGCCCTAACATACTCCCTTTTGAGAAAAAAAATTGTTTTACATTTCAAAGACCACATGAGACGATGGAGAGAGAAAAAAATCGAAGTTTTCACACGAGAGACGAGATAGTGCACGAAGAAGAGGAAGAAGAAAATGAACATCTAATAACAAAAAAATGAAAAAACTAAAAAAACATTGTTGTTTCTTCTTCTGCTGTTGATTTCGATGGTGCTGTTGCTGTTGATCGTCGTTATCATCGATTTCTTCGAGGTAAGTTGTCTGTTTTCTTCAGCTGTTGGTAATGTTGACTTGTGAAGAAATTGCGGGATTGTTCCTTGTAACGAGGCAAGTTCTCGGGTTCGCGAACGGCAACGAATAATTTGATTGTCTTTGTTCGTTTTTGTTTCACCGGGTTTACGACGTATATTGGTATGTCGTTGCGCTTGAGGATCGGTTTGATTTGATTCACTGTGAAGCGTCCGTCGCTGTTTT